CCTTTTTATAAGTTAAATTCGTAGCGAATAAATTCGCATCGAATCAAATTTCTTCCTCAAATTTGGCGAATCAGCCGAATCGAATTTTTGAATAATTCGCTCATCTCTAGTCCAGAGGATAATTCCTGGGAGCCATCCACTAATGTCCATGCCCCACGGTTAGTTCAAGCCTACCTCCATCTTCACCCTGAAAAACGAGCCCTAGTGGGCATCCGGAGGCTGCTCCTAAGGGGGGGGGGGGGCAATGTAAGGGATTTCCGGCAAGACGAATTGTGATTAGAAATGTGCATGCGCATAGGAACTCTCGGAGAAGAGTTGTCGGTTGTGCGCATGCAAGCAGAAATGCGCGATCGCACATACGCACGTGCACGCAAGATTGGCGCCAGACGGCCTATTTAAAAAGTGTCTCTGCCCATGTTAGATGCTGACTGGTCTTCAGATCCCCCGTGTCCTGCTTGTTCCTGTGTGATTCCTTTGTTGCTGACCCGGCTTGTTCCTCACCTGACTCAGATTGCTCTCCTGATTGATACTGGTTCCTGACTTCGGCTCTGCTCCTGACCTTGGCTTTTCTTCTGATTCTGTACCACGCTGCCCAACTGTTGATGACCCTGGCTATTCCTATGACACTGCTCCTGTCTCTTACCCTCACTACCTGCCTTGCTCTGGTGCAGGCCTGGCAATCTACAAGACCTGCTCTGCTTGTTACTACTGTGCCTGAATCAGAAGATCATCAGTCTTCCAGGGTCATCATCTGCAAGAGCTGCAAACAACTACTGGTGCTTGTCCCCCAGGTCCTAGACTCCCTCTAGGAATCTGTAATCTGTTCTTCCCAAAAAATGTAAATACATTCCAAACACCCCAAAGTATTTCCTGCTACACCCCATCTTAGCCAAATTAAGGGCTCATGTACACTGCAGCTGATAGGCTCATGTTTAGGAGATGTTCAGTGTTTTTTTTTTCAGCAGCCCCTGAACTTACCCTAATTTTTTTCCTGTGTGTCCATGTACACATCTTCGTTTACAGTTGTTTACAGGCATTTGAGCTTACAGTTGTTTTTTTTTAATGCAGAAAACTTGCGTTGAGTAGTCGATTTTATCAGCGTTTCAAACGCAAAATGCTTGTAAATGCGGCTAAACATGGAAAATCGAGTTTATAAGCATTTGCATTTGAAATTTTTTTTAACTCTTCCAGTTCCCGATGCTGTCCTGAGCCATTTCTCATCATGAAAAATGCATGCAAAGCATTTCAAGGTACTCAAATTGACAAAACACTGAATACAAAACACTGATGTTCCTACCAAGCTTGTCACACATTGTAATGACCAATTCACACCTCAGACCTCTCCCACCTTTGGAAACAAAAGATATGCTAATGACCATTCACACCTCAAATTCTTCATGAAGACCCCCTGCCAGGTGGCTTTAATGACTCACTCCACCACACACTTTTACCACCCTTGGAAACAAAAGAAATGTTAATGAGCAACTCAGCCCTAAGCTAATCTCAACACATACTGCTCTCTCTGCTTCTACTCTCTGTATTTCTCTGAAACAGTCTGAAATAGTTAATAATTTACCACTTTTCAGTGCATTCTGGGCATTTGGGAGGTTCTCCTGTGCTTATCTTTAAAAAACGCTTCTAAACGCAAATGCGCATAAACGCGGTATGCAAACGTGACTAAACAGACGTTTTTTAACCTACATTTTCCAGCAGTCAGTTTCCATCGTTCAGAAGAGTCCTGTGTACGTGGGGCCTAAAAGACAAAAGATGTTTATAAAACTGAAATTGCACCTCCACCACACATCACTGCCCAAGCCACCTTTTTGCCCTTTATAATACTCATCCTGAAATACAGAAGGAGCTGTGTGCCGCCCCAGGCCAGTAACAAGTGACAAAATGACAACACATGTGTCAAAACAGGAATCAATCACAAGCTGCAGGGCATTGTACTTCTTTTATATTTTTTTTTAAGTCTGGTATTTTGTTCCATATTTCCCAGCCACTAGGAAGCTGCTACTTTTCTCCTTGTCTGAATACACCTATGGCATTATTCTCTGTTATAGTATAAAACTCCTGCTTGGTTGCAGAATATTGCATGGCTGTAATTTGCTAATTTGGTCCCGTTACATATAACAACATGTGCCAAAACAAGGTAAAAAAAAAAAGAAGGGTGAAAGATAACAGCAATTGCTTCCCACTGATTAACATAGCACATTTAGCTATTTTATGAAAGTGATAAATTATAGTTCTTATTCTCCTGTAGACTTTGTTATATGTATAGAAATATGTTCATTGAGCTTATGTGCTTTGTGTGCTTCTGTTATACCTGTAATTAGATGTGTATTACTTTGTTAACACGATTTTCTGCATGTTAAACATAGATGCTAATAAGAAATAATCATTCATTTGAAAAAGAAACATATAGAAACCACATTCTGGTTTTACTGGAATTAGGAACAGATATATGCAGGGCTTTTTTTTAGCAAAAATACTCACATGAAAGAAAAATATATTTGAAATATTTTTAAAAAATATTCTTACCAAATATATTAACATATATTTGAAATGCTACAATGTTGGCCATATTCAATACATTTAAATATATTCTTCAGATGTTTTATTAATATATAACAAAGTCATTTTAACATATAGTTTTACATATATTTGTAAATGCATTCCAAAAATGTAGATTTGTATTCTTAAAGACATACAGTATATTTGAAATGTATTTTTTTAAAAATATTGTTCATATATTTTGTAATAAAAATGCATTTCAACATACAGTGTATATATATATATATATATATATATATATATATATATATATATATATATATATATATATATATATAATGAAATATATTTTTAAATATAATGAATATGGCTAAAATTGTAGCATTTCAAATATATTTCAATATATTTGGAAAGATTATTTTCAAAATATTTCAAATATATTTTTCTTCCTTGTGGGTAGGTGCAAGAACTCCCCACACCAGTGTCACTTCTTGTCTCCGACACCCTACTCACCTCCCAGTACCGATCCTTTTAGAGACTACAGAGCCAAGTATTTTGTGGTGCTAAATAATTTGTATGAAATGTGTTCATGATAACATAACAAGAAAAGCAGAAAAATAGATCATAGATCCCCTGCAGTCAGCAACAGCAGACCCCCCCCCCCCCCCCCCCATCCCCAGCAACAACAGTTTCCTCCCCTCAAAATAAAATACCACCCAAGCAACAATAGACCCCCAGTAGCTACAACAGATCTCTCAACATTCAACATCAATAGACTCTCCAGCAGTCAGCAACAATAGTAAAATAGACCCCTCCCGCAACAGTAGATCCCTTCCAGCAACAATTGACCCTGATCACCAATATACCTCCTCAGCAACAACAGACCACTACATGAAAATAGATCCCCATTCAGTGACAATAGATCCCCCAGCAGCCAGCAACAAAAGATCCTACCCCTTGTAATTACATATATTCAGTGCTGGAGGTGCCGGAACTGCGTTTCCGTTGAAAAAAAAGCCCTGGATATAGGAATGCTGCCATCTCCCACTAGGCCTTAAAGTGTTAGTTTTCTTTTTTTAGGCTTCCCTCTGTTTTCACCTAGTGATCTGGCCATTAACACACCTCCTGTATCAGAGCGCCCCCACTCTGAATGAAGGAGCACGTCAGTATTGCCAACCGTCAATTTTTTTACTGGCAGCCAGTAAAAAATGGGCACTTTTCCCTTGTCAGTAAATGCCAATGACAGGAAAATGGTTACCAGTTAAAAATATGGCAGTGACGCTTGGCTTGGAACTGTGCGTGAGCAGTTCCAGTCCAGAGTCAGCTGAGACCATCCGAGTGTCTGCTTCAGTGTTTTCCGATAGCTTTAGTGGGGAGCAGGTCTGGCAGAGGCAGTGTCTGAGCGTCTCGTGTGATGCAAAGGAGCCGAGTGGCCAGAGCCTCATGTGCGGGTCTGTGGGAAAGGAGCAGGACAAGCCGGGAGCAGGACTGTCTGTGCTGTTTGGACTGCAGTGGACTAAAGTGACCACCTGGTGTGGAGAGAGACTGTCACTGTGACTCTGAAGGGAACGTGTCATGTCAGTGAGGTGTCATCATCATCTGTGCTGCTGCACACACTTCATGTGTGGGTGCCTGACCATCCTAATTTCTTGCCCTCCTGAATCCTGTCTCTAAGTTACTTACTATATTGAAAATAAAATACGAAATATGTTTTTTTGCCCTAATATCTACTTTAAATCACATTTAAAATACTTTAACTTTGAAATACTTTAAATACTAATTGCACATTGTACTTGTTTGTAGCCTAAATACTGAAATTTGTACATAAAACTGTAAACTTTTAGAAATGCCAGTAAAAACTTGGCTGTGCCAATAAAATTTGGGTGTCGTGTCAGTGATTTTCAATCTGTTAGGCTGGCAACACTGGCACAAGGGCACCTTTGGACAGCAGCATCCTCAGTCTGGGCATGGAGGGGAGTGTTAGATGTACTAGCAAATTTACATACATTAACAAGTCAAACTCTGGATTACACTGCAGTTACAGCAACAGTTTTTTTTTTTTCTTTTGGGATAAAGGTTTTACATGAATAAATAAAATGTAATCATTTGAAACACCCCTGTCTTTGGTAAATGGCTTGTCTCATCCCTGCAACTGCTACATTTGCAGGAGAGTTTGTTCTGTTGAAAAACAACAGACTTACTGACAGGTTCATTAGATGAAAACAAGGAAAAGAAAGCCTAAAAAAGCAAAATGAATGCAGTCATCACATCTAAGAATTAGTAAGCTGCAAAATAATAAATGTTTGCTTTGAATTCAGTCCTCTGTAGGGTTGCTAATTTTCATTTCCATCAAATGATGGGGCATCCTTATGTTCCTAACACCCAGTCCATATCAGTATAGATATCCAGCATGATATTTTTCCCTATTGAGATCTGATGTATTTTCAAAGTGTTTCTTTTAATTTTTTTGAGCAGTGTACAAGTACATACCTCACAAGCATCTGAGATGAGAAAGAGGGACACCTTTTAGAATAAAAGAATAGGACATATCACTAAAGTTTAAACCCACAAGTGCATTTTTACCACTGCTTTTCCTTTATACTGCTTGTTAATATAAGATTTTGAGGTTTGATGAAAGGTTTAGTCTGGTGTAACCCTGCAATGCTGCAGAAATAACACAAAATACAGTATGAAAATACTCAATACTATCCCTTTAAATGAGAATGACCTATGTTACATCTTAGGGGGATCCCAATGGCCATCTTAAAAGTTACATCTTAAGGGTCGAAGGTGATGATGGGGTGCCTGGAAATAGCAGCAGAGGAGATGCCAGCAGTGAAGGACAAAGCAGTAACTAACAGAAGCTTGGACAGTGCTGCAGAAAGGCAGGATGGTAAAATTATACAAATGATGGCAACAGCTCACCCACTATGCTTCTGATCCAACCCCCAGTAGGGGGTAAAACACTTCAGATAAAGGTCATAGGTGGAATTTCTCTGCTGCTGCTGAATAGAGTTTTTTTGTTCAATATAAGGTTGTATTAACACCTTTGCGACCCGTAACTTATTCCCCACTTTTATTGTCGCATTTGTCTTGAATAGGCTGCCCTATGCATGACTCGTGTATCAAAGAAGCTCCTACACTTTTTTTGGCAGTTAGCAAAGAGCATTTTGGGATGCATGTTTTGATAAATGTGCAATAAAATACACAACTGCTACCTGTATTTGGGGTGCCATTAAGAAATAGTGGCACTGCAAGCACAATGTTCTTCCATGTTCATCCATGTTTTTCTGTACGTTTCAGGAAATGTGGGCAAAAATTGTGAATGAAGCCTTGGGGCTCAGTGGTTGCAGATTTATTAATTTTTACATACAATCTTCTTTCCTGAGAAGGCCTGGTTTGCAGGATCCATTATTGTAAACTTAGGATCACTTTACAATCCAACTATAATCAACTACAGCAATTGAAAGTGAGTCTAAGTTTGTAGACACCTTTGTACAGGGAGGTTGCATAGCAAGGAATCATGGATGTTACCAAACAGCAGAAACTGGCTGTAGTTAAAGTAAATTGAGTGTGCTTTTTGGTCTTAGCTATAAATGGGAATGGGAAAAATTGGGAAAAAACATGTTTTTTTTTTCCATTTTTTTGTTTTCTTCTGGAAAAACTGGAAAAAAAGAAGTGTGAAATATGTCCTTTTTATAATGATAAGTAATATATCTATGACATTGTGTTCAAATTATAAAACATTAGGACCTTAATCAAAGATTTATGTAAAGTCTTAAATTATTGCAAGTTCTGTTAGCTGAAGACAAGCAAAAGCTAGAATACAATTCAATTAACACTGTACTTCTCAATGCAGATCTCAAACAAGAGAAACATGCATTTCT